CTCTGCGGAAGAGCATGTTCCATCACAAAAGGCCTTTTCCTGCAACATCCCAAATCTTGCCGAGTGTCCGATCAGCTGCTTCAACCAGCGGAAGTAGATCATCTGCTTGACCCCGCAGATGCTATCAGTTCCAGAATAGTCTATAGATATAAGACTTCTTATCGCTTGTTACATTCAGGGGAGAAAGCTCAGAACAGGCCAAGTCCAATACAGTGGTACCTCGGGTTAAGTACTTAATTTGTTCCGGAGGTCCGTACTTAACCTGAAACTGTTCTTAACCTGAAGCACCACTTTAGCTAATGAGGCCTCCTGCTGCTGCTGCGCTGCCGTAGCATGATTTCTGTTCTCATCCTGAAGCAAAGTTCTTAACCTGAAGCACTATTTCTGGGTTAGCGGAGTCTGTAACCTGAAGCGTATGTAACCTGAAGCGTATGTAACCTGAGGTACCACTATACATCCCTGCCCTCACCACAAAGTAGCAACTGGAACAGGCTGCGCCTACGTTTATTTGGATATGATTCCCTTCCTGAAGACCAGATCCATCCCCAGAAAGAAGTTCAAATAAACACACCACAGCCCAATTCACTTACTTCTGCTGGGAGGGAAGAGGCTTGCGAGACTGAGAGACTCACACAAGGTGAAATGTTCTCCATCTGTAATTATGAAAAGCTGGGAACTAGATGAGCTAATCCTATCAGAGACCATTTTACAGCCCGCCCGCCCCAACTCCACACCATCAAGTACCTGCTCTAGGGACTTGGCAGAAGCTCATTCACAACACTTGCCAGGCAGCTGCCAAGATATTGCTTCAACTCTGGCCATATCCCAGTTGTTTGGCTGCCCAAGAAACATGATCTGTGCAGAAATCTCAAAGCTATTTGTGTGTTCATTAGAATATAGATGGGCAGTAAGAGAGCCTTGAAATTCAGCTTTCAGTAGGAACCTGGATGCGAGCCAGATCCGTCTCAATCTATTGCTGAAAACAGGAGCATTTTGAGATGCATTTTTCACCCCTGCAGGCTAGCAGAGAAAGGTGTGTAAGACGGTCGTAGAAACCAAGTTGGCAGCTTGCCCTAAGAGAAAAGAGAGATGCTGGGAAGAATCTAAAGACCGGCTTCACAATGTTTAGGGAAAACACATTGCTCCTTAGCTCAGCAACCATATATCATTTGCCATCCGCAGCCTGACTGTACTCTTCTGCTGGCATATGGATATTATTTTATACCTCCAGCTTCCCAGTGCCCTTTTGCAGCCAATAAATGGGAAATTTGCTGACATGGTCCTTACTGTTTAACCCCTGAGACAAAAACACCCAGTCATTATTATTATTATTATTATTATTATTATTATTATTATTATTATTGAATTTATGTACTACCCTTCATCTGAGGATCACAGAGCGGTTTACAATATAAAAACACAAAAATACATACCCTCATAACAAACAAATATACTCCGCACACACACAGTATTTATGCCAAATACGTTCACATTCTTGCAAGTTTGATTTGAGAATTACAGCACAAAATTGCCCAGGACGTCTTTAAAACAAAACCCAACAACCTCAAGACTTTGAGTAAAATTTGGAAATCAGGGGAGCAAAGGGTTGGATTCGTAAATAAGATGAGTGTTGCTTAGCAGCAGGCAAACAATGTAATTTCCTCCAAGAACTTCCTCGAGATTCATACCATTTTGGGAAACATGGGAGAGGATCACAGTTGCCTTTGTCCAGCAAATCTTTATTCCCAAAGTGCTATTTTCAGAATTATATCCAGCTTTTCTATATCTGATATAATATGGCAGAAGGCAGGTGACACTATGAAATAAGCCTCCTTAATGACAAGTATCTCAGTTAATTTATTTGGGGCCTGAGAGACTTCAAGAGGCAAGAACTTAAAAGACAGATGTCTTGCATCTTTCATGGTCCCTTGGTGATGGTCCTCAAAACACAAATGACAACTATTGTTAAAGGCAGAAAAAGAGGGTATAGAGAAAGACAGGCATGGCTAGAAATAAAATCGCAGCTCAATGCTCTTTAAATTCCCAGTGCTCTAAAGTTATGTTCAGGACTAACAAAACCTTTACAAAATAGTCAGACATCGACATAATGGCTAAGAGCGAGAGGAGAAATGGGTGACCTCTGAACCACTAAACATTCTCCAAAAAGCGAGTCTTGATAGAAATACTTCAGCAACAAGGAGAGAAATGTGCTCAATCCTGAAGGCAATTATACTCTTGAATTTCATTACCTCCCCTGATACTATTAGACTTCTTGGAGATCAGTCAACTTCATGACCATAACCAGTCCTGAGGTAATTTTTCACAACCCTGTGGCTGTTGTTGAACAGGAAAACCAGTCCAAGAATTATCTGTCTCACTTGGATGAATGACACTTGGCAGCAACGGGTTCCAAATCTCATGCCAAAACCTTGTCAATAATTCTGTAATCCATATGTAAACAGCAAATAACACAGCTTTCAGCACAAAAACCTGGTTTCTTATGTGGAAAGGTTGACAAAAGTAAACTATATTCATAGCCAGAAAGGCTACGGAGATGACTCTCCTGGCATGCAGAAAAGCTGTAAGCAGGAAATAAGGGGGAAGATTTCCCTCAAATATTCAGCATTATAAACTGCAAATCCATCTGGACCTGGAAACAAGCCAACAATGAAGAGTCCTTAGTGACTTCTCTTGTTTGAATAGTGGTTGTTTTTATTTAAAAAAAGCTGTTTGCTTCAGTGCAATGTGAGGGTCTGTTATTAATTCAGAACTAGTCTTGCTTTTCTCTGCCTGTCCCCAGCACCAGCCGCGCTTACCACATTGACAGAAATTATCTTAAATATGTTTTTAAATAATGCATTATTTTAATATATACTAGGTGATGTGTACTGGTTAAAACCACCAAGGATCTGACCACAGGCTTTTCTGTCTATACTCATCCAATCTGTATCACTTTCTCAGCTTCCCAACAATTTAGCTTTTGGGGATTTCACCACCAGATTAGCACTTCTGAACTGAGCAAGTATACTTGGAACGTCCAAGTATTAATCTCTCCAATTCTGGCTTTAACTGCATTTTCAGTAAGAGCACGCAAACACTTAGCATCTGCATTTTTCTTTTTACTTTTTATTTCTAAAATGTTTATGCCACTTAACATAATAAAAACTCTACACAGTTTGTATTAACAGATCAAATCTGTTAAAATATCCTAAAAATGAATTTAAAATAAAATGCAACTATACATTGTAAACAAAACAAATTATCTTCATAGCCACAAATCTGAAGGTTTGGTCCTTTTATAGAACTCGGTTATATATGCTTTCCACTTTCAAAGTACAGGATAACCCTCGCAAGTACAGCATCAAGCTCTTTCTAGAAAGATACACAGGCTGAACAAACCTATGAAGATATTCTGGCAATCCTTTATTTGCACGTTTGATTTATTAACCTGGAGATCATAGCATCACCCTTTAAATAACTGTTCATTCACCTAAAGGCAATCACGAGCCCTCTATATGCTTGTGTGACTATGTTCATATTGGTATTCCTTATAAAGGCCAAAATATATGGTGTTTCATGGTGTACTCTTCCCTATTGATTCATAAACTATATCTTGTGAACTCTGTTCCATCTAAAATACATACACACTTCAATAAGCAGCAAGCCAACTCACACATATATTCCAGCTTTGCAATGTGTCAATTGACAAAGAGTTTTTGAAGAACTCCCTGGACAACAGACTGCAGGATGGTTCACCTGTTCCATTGGTAAAGCCTTTAACTGACCCTTTTTACCAAAGGTGCAAATTCTGGTTACAGTGAGTCATCTTTGATTGGTGATTATATCCCCTGTTGTGGTTGAAGCTTGGTGGGCACTGGCTTTGAATTGTTATATGGTGGCCTGGTGGGCATGTGCATTTGTACTCAGGGAAAACTGAGTTGAACCCTTCTTTTCAAAGTCTCAATTTCTGCTCTTGCTGTAGAACCCTGCTAGTTGCTGTATTTTGACTGATGTTCTAGCTATTTCAAATTCTAAGATTTTATATTGTGTTGTGATGCAACACGCCCAAAGATCAATAAAACTGATGAAGTGCAGGATATAAATTGAACAAATAAATAAATACAATATTAAGGAACAAATCTTGCTGAAACTGAACATAACACATGTTCATCAAAATTGCTCATAACCTCTCCATTACTCTAGATTGCATTCTCTTAGGTCCATTGCAGATGGAATACTGGTCAAGAGACCAGGAGCACCTCCCTTCTCCCACTTGAATTCCCCTACCTTTTCACCATGTCAGGGTTCCCCACGATTACTATGGCACAGCTGCAACTTTGGATTATGGTCACCACGAAGCAGGGATGACCAAAACCAGCTAACAGCTTCAAACCCTGTTTTCAAATTGCAGTTACAATTTTCAAGAAAAAGTTCTGCCTTCTTAATTATGCATGAAAGCTTTTACTTTACGTCTTTGGTAACAATCACCACTAAGTTCAACAATGAAACAGGGTCATGTCACAAAAATTGCCCATTATACAAGTGGGATCTGGGAGGGAGGGGAAGTTGAAATTGGAGGGTCCCTATTCACTGTTCCAGGCATCCACATCTTATTTCAATATACTCCATTTCCTTTCCCCTTTTCCCATCTCTTGTATCGCTCTCAACATCCTATGGCAACTGAGCATGCTCAGTCCTCACCGGACCGGGGAGTGTGCCTCATAAGGTTTCTTTTCTTCTAAAGCTTTATTGTAGTTCTCCTTAGCCTGTCACCTACCCTCCTTCCTGTGTATGATGGAGGGGTCCTGCTCTTTTGACAACATAAGAATTGCATCTCCCCCGCCCTGAACAGAAAATAATGATGATCTACATACAGAATTATCGATTTCTAAATCATCATCATCATCATCTTTCAACAACTCTAAGTATTTTTTGCCCAAGATGGCACCAAGTTCAGTTCTAAGACTATAAACAGCAGGAGAAAACAAACATAGTCTTACCTCTCCGTGTCTTAAAGGAGTAATTGTTCCTCTTGACACCCCCATGCGAAATAGAGTTTCGGTGGCCTGCGTACAAAAAAGTAAAGTTATTTCAAAAAGCAGTCAAATCTGGAATCCTTTTTTTCAAATATCCACAAAAATAAAACCATACTTACATGGCAATCCTACACACACTAGCTTAAGAGGTAAGTTCCACTAAAGTCAATGGGACTTACTTCCAAGTCAACACAGAGAGGACTGCAGTTATTAAATAATTTCTGTACATTGTATTCTTTCCAGGTGAAAGTGTTAAATGAAGGAAATTTTTTACACAAAGAAGTTGACACTTTGCATGCTGATGGGAAAAAACAAACATGAACATACACATCCACACCCAATAAACAGCATTTAAAAATGTTACTTTATTACAGAAAAGTAATAACAGATATATCTCATGAAATGAAGAGATCTGTCTTCTGTGTAGCTCACCGCAACAGCTTTTAGAGAAAGCTAATTATAAAGAAACGGGGATGCGGGTGGCGCTGTGGGTAAAACCTCAGCGGCTAGGACTTGCCGATCGCATGGTCGGCGGTTCGAATCCCCGCAGCGGGGTGCGCTCCCGTCGTTCGGTCCCAGCGCCTGCCAACCTAGCAGTTCGAAAGCACCCCCAGGTGCAAGTAGATAAATAGGGACCGCTTACCAGCGGGAAGGTAAACGGCGTTTCCGTGTGCGGCTCTGGCTCGCCAGATGCAGCTTGTCACGCTGGCCACGTGACCCGGAAGTGTCTGCGGACAGCGCTGGCTCCCGGCCTATAGAGTGAGATGAGCGCACAACCCCAGAGTCTGTCAAGACTGGCCCGTACGGGCAGGGGTACCTTTACCTTTACTTAATTATAAAGAAAACATAAGCCTTTTCAACAATGGTCACCCACAAAATAATGCAGGCACTGAATAATCCTGTTTTCTGACCACCAGTAGCATCGTGCAGCGATTAAAAAGATAAAACAAAGAAAGAGAAAAATAGTTGAACAAATTGCTTAACGTTTTTATCAGCGTTTCTGACTGACTGAACTAAATGGTTGGCGTTAGAAAGACTTATCCCATTACAAGAGGAATGCCCTTTCATTCACTGTAAGGCGAGGAACATGACACAGATAGCTTTTTAAATGCACAACATACATGGTGAATTGCTTTCCTAAAATCGAATAGTGAGGTGAGCATGAATGCATAATACTTTTAACTGTTCCTTCCACTTTCCACTGGTTTATAAGCATTTTTATTTCCTTATACTTTTAACTTTTTGTTTCCAGTGAATGCCCCCGCCTACTCGCAAACTTTTATTTATTAGCTCATTTACACCCACATAAGTCCATACCAGCTCCAATACCTACTTCTGTTTCTCCCTCTTGAAGATTAAAGGGGTGAGAACCTCATGCAACCTTTTGTGTTCTTCAGAATTGATTCCTTTCATCCATTCTTTCCACCAACATTTTAAGGATGTTTCACCCAAATAGAACATTCTGTCAAGACTGCTAAGCTCCCTTTGTTTCCATTGAAAACCAGTGGTGTGTGTGACTTTCCTTCTTCTCCCACTGGCAAGAGATCTCTTTTAATACGCTTGTACTCACACAGCTAAAATAAATTGTCAAAGCTCCTAAAAGAAAAAGAGAGATTCACATCATTTGTGAATCTAGGGCCACAAATTCCTTGATAGGATCACCCCTCACATGCATTGAGTGCAGCTAAGGAGATTAGAACTAGACTTCCTACTTAAACTGGAGGGAAAGGCCTAACATGCACAAAAGCTTCAAGAACAGGAGCAGCAGCAGCAGCTGACTATTTAAGGGGTTATGTAATTAGCCAATACAAAGAGCAAGACTGGGAAGTATAAGAAGATGTCGTGTTAACATAAACCCCCCGTGGCTGTAGCAAAAATGTTAAGCGAGTTAATAAAGTCTACCCTTGTAAAATTCACTTTATGAAAAATTATTTTAATTTTAAAAAATGTTAAAAACCTCATAACATAAAGGGGGAAATTGAGAAATTTGAATCTGGGGTGGAATTTGGGTTGAATTACCTGAATTAACATGGAAATTTAAATGCTTTGGAAATTTCATACACAACCTCAACATGCTCTGCTCAAAGTGTCTTTCAGATTTTAATAGCGCACTACTGCTGCACAGAATTAGAGCTGCAATGTACTTAAGCTCTGCTCCCATGAAAGAATCCAACAGTTTTAATATTCTACATCAGAATATTGACTTGACCACCATACTTCCATGTTCCGATAACCTCCAGACTGTATTATTGCAATGCGCTCTACATGGGGAATGCCCTTGGAAGATAACTCAGAAACTTCCATTGGTCAAAAATGTAGCAGATAGCTGCCTGGGCATCTAGATCACATGTTAAAGTGAATGTATTTGCCAAATAACCCATGTTTTAAAATAGCTTCATTATTTGCCAGTTCACTTCTGGGCCCAGTCCAAAGTGCTCATGTGCTTGAATAGAATCTCATGAAAAAGCACCCTGAACTCTGAAAAAACTACCATAGTGGGTGAGCGTATGTTGTTAGTAAGCACTCCAAAAATCCAGCTTTTGCCATGGTAGCCTGCACCTGAGAAGGGAAGCTCTGGTTTTGTCCTAGAGAAGCAAGAGAAGAGCCTCCATTACTTTAACTGAGGCGGTGCATGTTCAAGCAAAGCTGAGTTACGCCGCCTCTCATCTTAAATGCACTGATTGCTTTCTCCTTCACTGTAAATCTCTGCCATACCCCTGTAAAGGAAACTAAAGCATCAGACTCCTTGAAGTGTTATACCAAGATATGATCACCTAAAATGTCACTCCTTTGGCTTCTCCTATCCTCCTTCCAACCAAGTTTGTTTCAATAGCTCCAGGCTTTTGCCACAAGAGCCAAAAAGACATGTTGATCCCTTTTCCCCTGGGAAAGCAGAATAAGGATGATTTTTTAAAAGACCTTTCTCAGACATTGAGAACAAATACTTCCTGGCTGGCACCATTTCAATACTTTTAACACCTGATCATTGCCAGCAAGACAGTATTTAAGAGGCTTTGTCTTTTCTCCTTACCAACAAAGGTATAAAAGAGCTATCAGCTCCCTGCACAGGGCCTTTCTTATGTACTTTCCCCCACCCCACCCTCCTTCTCCTTCCATTATCTTTCTCTTTCTGTTGCTAAAGAGGTACCTCAAACCACAACACATCTACCAGAAGAACAAGGGCATGTATTAAATCTGCCTTCTCTCTTCCCTCGAAAGCTTCTATCCCTGCCCCCCACCCTGCCTTTCCATTTTCAGCTTGCATTATTTCCCTGATTATGCTCTTTTCTTCTTCCTGGGTTGTCTCCCCACAAAATCCCACTCTCCTTTGCTCATTACACACAGTGCAAAAACAGAGCTTTAATACTCTGCCATTGACCCCAAAGTCTCCCACTTGCATTCTTTTTAGTGTTGCCTAAAAATGTGCTCAGAGCTAAACCTGCCTTCATCCTCTGACCACTTTTCCTTACAACTCCATCCTTTTCCCTATCCCTCACTCAGCAAACATTCTCCCCACTTCTCCTGTTTGGTTTTATTGCATCCTAGTTTTTCAATATGTTTTAGAATATAATTTGACTTGCTTTATTCATTTTATACTTCTTAACCCTTATACTTCTTCTTAACCCTTGGGGTACCAAATTATAGGTTGCATCCAGGTATCAATGTCAAACGATCCAAACAGGGCGGGAGACAAATCAGAGTTGCATGTGAGAACTGCTGTCTTGCATGTAAACTGCACACTTCACAATGGTGAGCCTCTTCTTCTCAAAGACTCTCCTTCAACTCTAATCTGGCAGCAACCATTACAACAGGCTGTAGGGGAGGGAGAGATGGGAAGCAGGGCCCATACCTTCAAGTCTGCTGAAAAACCAGCTACATTGGGTTCCTCCAGTCCCTGAAATGTTTACATAACAACTGGTTGTTTTAATTATTACAGTCATACCTCATGTTATGTTTGCTTCATGTTAATTCTTCCAGGTTATATCCCACGGCGACCCGGAAAGTACCAGAAAGTGTTACTTCCGGGTTTCGCCGCTCGCGGATGTGCAGAAACGCTAAATTGCGCTTCGCACATAACCACCAAATCACACCACACACCTGCGCAGATACGGCGCTTCAGGTTGCACTGTTTTCATGCTGCGAACGGGACTCCGGAATGGATCCCGTTCACAACCAGAGGTACCACTGTATTTGAAAACTGGTGCCTGAGTTTGCTCCCCCCATTCTCTCTCCCCATCCCTTTTTTTCTTTTATGTCACATATTTTAGACTGTAAACCAACAGGCAGGGATGGCCTTGCTTTAAGTGATTTTATGCAAGTGGCTCTTCAAACCTTTTTGGCTGAATAGCAAGTTAAAAATACTTCAAATATCCTATTTACTGGAATCTAATGCTCACCTTTTTTGGCCAAATTACATTGCAAAAATTAAGGTGCACATTAGATTCGATGGCACATTTACATTTGCCAGCAAATACTTTTTTTGGTTTCAAGGTTCTGAAAACTGAGGTGCGCATTAGAGTCGACGGCGCATTAGACTCAAGTAAATACGGTAAATAAAGGCATGGCATCTCAAGCTGTTATCTCGGCCAGGAAAAAAGAGCAAGAAGCCAAAGGGGTTCACAATTAGAACTTAAATAAATCCCTTCCCAGCCTCCTGACCAAGGTCATTAGGAAGGAGAAAACGTTAGCTCCATATTAAGACACACACCAACAGCTAATGAAGAGCCGCTTTAACAGGAGCTCCCAATAAATTTATGTTCTGCCACTAATCTGGTGCCAGTCTGGGCAAGTGTGAACCTCTCCTCCTGGATGACTATGGATTTGCAAGCCAGGAGGGGATGCAACCCTCCTGTTGAAAAAGGAAAGAATAGTTCTTCACATTTCAAGTACTGCCTGTCATATACCGTTTCATGTACATAGTAGCATTCCTACGCCAATTAAAGTAACTGCTCGATTATCAAATACAACAGCAAATCCACTTTGTAAAGATCAATAAAATAAGATGAATTCTATTAAAAGTCCTTTCTATG